ATATGAAACTTTAAAAAATTATTTAGTTTCACATCCTCCACATGTGAATTTTGATAAGGCTTAGCAACCTATGGCAAAGTTCATAACTAGAAGAGAATTATTTTCTAAAATTCTTTATTTACTGTTCTATGTTTAAAGAAATACAACTGAAATTTATGAACTTATTTTAAATAGAAATAATGTATATACATATATAATGTATTAAAACTGAAATGTGACTGTATTTTACAAAATACTAGTCCACTAAAACACAGCCAAGACAGGTCACTTTGTAAAGGCCAGCTTTATATTCTTGGATACGGTGACATCAGTGGACTTGCGCCGCATCATTGCAATTTCAATAATGTTAGCCAGGCACGGCTGAAAGGTCAATATAATAAAAATTATAAATATATATAAATGTATAATGTTATGAAATTTAAGCTATTTAGACTAAACATTTGAGTTTTTGTGTTATAATTTGTAGTCATTCTAGAACAAAAAAAGCATAATTTATATTTATTTCTTTATATTTTTTTTAGGTTTACAAAGTCAGTCAAATTGAACCAACCCATACAGAGATACAGTAGTGAAAATAACAGATAAAATATAAAGTTGTTTTCTAAAAAAAATTTGATAATTATCTGAAGGTTATAAAAATTTAGCATGTGAAATTTGAAAATGTTCTAATGCATAAAAGTATTTTTAATCTTAAAATCAAAATTACTTTGCATGTTGGATAATCAACATTCTGAAAGAAAAAATTTTATGAGAAAATTTTTGATTAAAAAATCTTAATACTTAATTTAAAAACCTGATATTTTGTTTACAAAAGTCTTGTAATGTTTACTAATAACCTGCAAAATTTTGTAAAGATATGCATAAATTATCAATAATCATAGCATAATTACTTTCATTGCGAGTTTTGTGGTTATGGACTGAATGCAATCCACCCAGCCCATAATGGAAGGGTTATATTTGTTAAAGTTCTTGAATTAACCTTAATAGAGCAAGATTTAAGCTAGTTTTAGTAGCATTTGTTTATGTTAAAGGAGGAGATATTCAGAGTGTAGCATTTGGCTCCATTAATCCAAGTGAAGTGTTTCATTTTTTAAAGCTTCATTAGTGAGATCTTGAAATTCTCACAGTGTAAGTATATATTAAAGTAATGTTATATTTGATTTAACTTGTGGTACATGTTTTCAGTTAACATTTTCTTTTACATTATCTCAGTTTAATTTACAAGAGGGACCTACATGCACTGATAAGAGTTTTTCATGTTCTATTAAAGTCTTCTTCAGCTCTTGTCAGTCACACACTTATATAAATACAATCATTTGCCCTACTGTTTAGTGTTTTGTATTGCTTATTTGTGAAAGTGACATTAAAGTTTTGTTCTATGTATAAATCTGTATCTTGTCTCTTTCTTTGACTTAACTGTTGCAACTCCTTGGAAAATATACATCCAAGAACCTCCAATTAGCATCTCTTCTTTGTTGGTCATCCGCAAGACTACACTTTAGTAAAATAGTACTTACATTAAATAAAAGGGAGTTGTACTTACTTAAATATAGTTATGGCTGATTTTCAACTTTGTTAATAATATTTTCCCTTTTTTATATCACTGTGAAATATCCTTATTTTTCCAAGTCAGTACAAATACACTGAAATGTTTGTGTAAATCTGTCACATAACACATTGTGATGTTCTTATTTTCATTTAAAATTCTAAACCTTGGATATATAATAACTGAACTACAATGTATTTACCTTACAGACTAAAAAATCTTTAAATTTACTGTTCACTGATTCTTCTAATGCTGTATAAAAATGTGTGGCATGATCTCTCATCGAATTGCACATTAAGTTTATACTAACAATATTAAGTACTGTTATTAAATATTTTACATTTGTTACACCCTTACAAATAAAATGTGTATTTGTTCATTACTTCTTAAACTGAGATACTTCTGCTACAATTTTAAATGTTTCACATTGTATTTCATTGAAACATCTGAAATATAATTAATTTTATACACTATTATATGATAATATGATGGTATTAGAGTGTAAGACATATTTTCAAAATAAATTACCAATTTGGTAAACAGTATACTTCTAGTGTTTTGTCTAATTACACATCTGCCTAAGAGATGTACATGCTATTAGCCTTAAAGCAACTCCCACCTTAAATCAGTGTTTAGTGAACTGCACTGGTGCATGATGATGTCATCATGTGACAAAAGCACTTCACTAGTAGGAGGGCAACACAACCTCCCTGCATAGTAACTCCCTCTATACATTTGCACTCATGAGAACTTCATTTTTTGACAAGGCAAGACAAAAATGTACAACAGAAGTGAGAAAGATGGGTTGGAATGTGTG